CCCCCCCCCCCCCCCCCCCCCCCCCCAAAACTCATTTTAATGATTGTCAAACAGGGGCTAACTAAGAGAATATTAGAAAACTAAGAAATCAATTATATTCTCAACAAGGAATTTGGCCAAATAAAATAAGAAAGCAAGCTTATTTTTATGGGACGGGTGGCATGCAAAAACTTGAACAAATTAAATAAATACACGTATAGCACAGAGAAACGCCAAGATATTGGACCGAATAGCAGTACCTTTTAGCAATTGAATACCTACTGCACCCAACACAGTGATCTTGAAACTGTGAATATGGAAGTTTCATTCACATAATTCTTTAAATTACGGCCTATTGTCAAAAGACACTAGACAATAAAAAATAAGTCCGACTACAGTCATGCTACAAATCAGTAATTCGACTGACGAAGCAGCAGTTACAAGTACAATCATCCTAAGGATCAGTTATAAATTCAACAAAGATCAGCTTTTCAAATAAAATGTTCCACTATTTCTGAGTTCCACTTGGGGGAAAAGGAAATCTTGAGCCTAGCCTTCTGCTCTCACTATAGATATATCCTCTATTATGCCTTTCCCATCCATCGAATCAAAGAAAAAGAAATTTTTTAGAGGGTCTCCTTTGCCAGATATTGCCTTAATAACTTCCTACAGCCACAAAAAATCCAAAAATGTCAATAAAGCGGTGAAACAATTAAGCTCTGTAAGTACTTTCAAGATTTAAAATAGTTCCGAAGCACATCACCACCTGTCCAAGAATTCCTCCAATGATGGCACAAACAGGAGGAAATTCTGTTGTACTTGATAATAATCTCTCTAGAAGGGCATCCGGAATCATAGATTCACTCAATGACTGCATAGGTAGAGGTGAAATTATAAGACAAGGAAATGCATGAAAAGGGTGCATAACAGCTCAAATAATTTCCAGGAGTCGTACATGTGCCTCGCAAAGTTCCTTCCTCAACTTTTGAACATTTGGAAGGTCAGCAATTGAAGTATCTCCAGGATTACGAGATTCAAGCTCTTCAAACCTTTCTATCACTAAGAAAATGTACTCCCGACAGTAAATAAGACAATCTCCAGAACAATTTTGTTAAATATATCCACATTTAGCATAAGCACAGAGCTCAAGGAATGTGTAAGCTCATTAAAAAAAATAAATATTTCAACGTCTGTAACCAAATCGTAGATTATCCACCATACATAAAAAGCAACTACCAAGCAGTGAAAAGTAATTTGCAAGGAAGCATGAAGATAAAGAATAGCTGATCCTACTAGACGTTCTTTTGTCTGGCTGAACACTGAAAGCAATATTTGGCTAGCATGAAGGACACTGACACTTGTACAGAGAATT